GCGAGCTTCTGCTACTACTAGACGGCCTTGTAGACAGGTATCCTTGAATACGAGTGGCCAGCTATTATATATATATATATATATATATATATATATATATATATATATATATATATATATATATGGAAATATATGGATATAGATCCGACAGTATGAAAAAATATACAGAAAAAACAAACAAAAATCTTAATATGTAATTATGCTGTATTAATGTTAATATAAAGTCAACGTCGGACGTTTCGGTCTATTTTAGCCCATCATCAGGACATAGACCAAACGTCCGACGTCCGATATTAACATTAATAATTTACATATTAAGACTTTTTGTTTTTTCAATTTTCTTATATATATATATATATATATATATATATATATATATATAGAGAGAGAGAGAGAGAGATAGATAGATAGATTGATATTACTTCAAACGTGATTTTTAGTGGATATCGAATTAAAGTAGACGTTTATTTTTAAGCAGTATTTATGTCGTCTACTGGCCTCCGTACTCGAGTAGACAGGCCTGCAGAATAATGTTTAAAATAAACGGAGCGTTTACTTAAATACGGGTATCCACTAAAATAAGATTTGATGTGATAAAAATATCTCGGAATAAAAACAATCTACTAATTCTTTAGAAATTGCTTTCTTTACGTTTCGGATACGAAACTGAGCAGATATGTGTTTGAGAAAAATCTGAGAGTGCTTTAAAGGCAAAATAGAACCTTGCTTTATCGTGAAGCTCTATGTAGCTAAGTGGTAAAATACGCCAGATCAGATGATGGTCCCCCCGCTCCTGTAAAAGGTAGACACAAGTTTGGATCCCACCGGGGGGTAGATTTAATTTATTAATATTTCTAGGGTACGCAGGCCGGTAGACGAAATAAATGATGTGTCATTCCTCTGTCTTTTCTACAAATATGGCAACTCCTCTGACGAGCTTTTTCCCTGGTGCCCCGACTTCATGAATTTAAACGTGCTACTAGATTGGCATCTAGGTCCCACCATTTTACTGTTGAAATAGTTAAATATAACCGCCACTTCTACCCCTAACAGTTTTTTCTTGCACTTCCCGACAGAGAAACTCACTTCCGCTTACTTATTTTCCTGATAACAACAATCATCAAAATTTTAAATGCAACGTCAATCGCCATCTTCTGTTGACTTGAACCCCGTTCATCTTTTATCCTTTCCCCAATCTCCCCTATACTTAGTCCTTTTTTCTCTATTTCACTCTCTGTAACTCCCTGCGTACTAGTGGTACTCCTGCTTAGCTTGGGGTGAAATGATTTAAAAATGAAAAAGAAAAAGAAAAACGCATCCCCAGGTAAAAAGTCATTAATTTTAAAAGGAACATGCAAGACGTTCCTTTATATTTAG